ATTCTTTACGATTCCATCTAACGGAACATCATTGAACGATGACGAAAAAACATCGAAATTTATTATTTACAATGTTATTTTCAAAACTTCCGAATGCCCGAAGCTGAAATAGGTCGACGACGCATTTTGTTTATACCTTTCATCATATGAAACCCATGTTTGTATGTCCTCTGTAAAAAAAAAAAACTACAAGCGCCTAGTTTACAGTTATTGAAACAGTATTTTTCATATGACTTTCATATCCGTCCTTTGACTAAAATTGTCGATGGTATGTTGATATTTGGTTGCCGCATTCACAAAGTGTTTGAAAAGCTTTGATGGTGTATCAATTTAAAATGCGCTTGCAACGTGCCTCACAAAAGCTCTCTATAACAATTCTTAAGCGGAAAATAGGGGTTTTATCGATAGTATGTGAAACCGGTGGAAAATTTTACTTATTCTTCGAGCTAGAAGATACAGTTTATCTAGGAATACTAAGAAATTGAAGAAGATAAAAAGGACTGTAAAATAGCTTCTGTAGTTAACTCCTTTTGAAAGACTTTAGATCGTAATGCAAAAATAACAGTATGATAGAATCGAGTAATGTCTGTAACGTGTACGTGAGTAGTACATATTTAATAATAATAACGGTTTAAAACGCAAAATATAATATAGAGGCCATAGTAAAATATGTGTTAAATAAATTAAAAAACATTTTTCGCGTTTCAAACCGTCAAAATGTTTTATATAAATGGTAGAATTGATATAACATTTTTAAGCGGGAGGTATTATCGTTAGTTTATTTTTAACATATCTTGTTATATGTGGTAACTACTCGTAGGCTACAAAGATACTTAGACATACAAATTTCTATTGTAATTTTGACATAATCTATAAATAAGTAGAAGCAACCCTAGGCTTAACCTAATATAAATTATATCAAGGTTATTTAGTACTAAACGCGTTCTTGTCGTCTTTAATCATACAATATGTCGCTGCGCTAAAACCATAGATTAAGCAGAATTTACAACAAAGAACCAACTGTACTGGGACACAGTACAAAGACAAGAAATATTTTATTAAATAGGTTCGGAATATTCATTTTAGTTGTTTAGGGTGCAATGTACTCCAAAACTACGTATTGTTTACGATTTGTATAGGCGCCTGTTCTATAGAAATTGTAACAATGTTATAGAACACAATATATAATACATTTAATAAAGTCAATATCACTAGACAAACTCTCCTAACAATGTTCAAAGCATATCATTATTAGATCAAAGTTATTATACCGTGTTTTAAACCGTTAACAGTGGGCGTATGTAATAAAAACTCGCGTCAACTACAGATCAGTATCACCTTCGTAATTGTTAGGTCCCTAAGTATGTCCCAATTTTTAGTAGTTAAAGGTGCTTAAAGAAATAGTGAGCGCGTAGGAACATCGTAGACGGCGTAGACAAAGTGTTCTGCGGGCAAGGACGTTACCCTGTGTGACGCCTGACGGTCACCTTATGCTACGGAGTGCGTTGACCCCAAATACAGCCTTAATGTCGTAGCACTGCAGACTAGACAGTGCAACCTTTTAGAATTTTAAACGTAGATACATACCACGTAAGTGTTGTGCACACTTCTGCTTACCAACGTTAGAAATATAAACTTTTTACTATTCAAACGTCGGCATGATGTCTATGTATGTTTCACTCTAGCGGTTAATATACTGTAACCAATTAAAATTAAACACTATAAAAGTTTAAAACGCAAAACATAATAGTTAAACTTATTTTACAACGAACGCTTTGTAGCAGCCGTGGTCACAGGGAGAGTCATTTTATTAAACAATTTTTGTTACAGCCAAACAATTACGCTAGTCAAGCAGCTATATTGATGAAAGGTAAAATACATACTATATATTTTCTTTACATATATTAAGATGAGCTAACAGCAAAATTAGGCTTAGATTATTTAATAGTGAATTTAAACGTGTTAACAATCTTAGTAAGATTATCAGAATGGCTAATTATCGTAAAAAATACTGACTTACAAGTTAGGTTTTACACATTTTGAAAGCCAGCATAAAAACAGAACCAAAATAAAGCGAGGTCACAACGGATAAGCTATTTTGGTCAGAAAATATTGAGGACGATCGAATAACGTCCCCAACGAGACTTTTAAGTAGTTGCATCGACTTTCTCCTAACTTCTGTAGAGTTTTTACTAATGAGAAATTACGAGTCTTAACTGATTTTCATAGACAAACGTGTCTACATTTTAAATAATAAACTTTTAACGGTTTAAAACGCGAAATGTAGTTAATTTATTTTACCTACGGCCTGTTAGTTAGGTGCTTTGCAGCTGCCGTGTGGATTTAAGTTAAGTAATGCGATGTGATTGTGATGTGAAATGTGATTGTGTTCAGTGTTTGTGTATAAAGATACAATTAGGTATCTTTATGTCTTTTTTATTAAGTTTGTCATTTCTTCTTGATAGAAGAATTCATAAATTTATTAATTTCTTAATAGATGCATCGTTTGTGTTAGCTCGGCCACTGAAGGTGCCACAGAATATCAGTGTTGGGACATTCGTTACAACGTACTAGCAGAGTGGACTACTCTTTCAGAGGCAACTGTATTATTTTATTTTATCTGTATTTAGTCGAAAAATATTATGTTTATAATTCTTATATTATGTTTGTAAAATTTGTGAGGTTTTCGGATAAACTTATGTCTATTCTATTATATTCTAAATGCTTAGGTACACCTCGAAAAAACATCGCGCTGTGACTAATAGGAGCAAAGAAACAGCGAGAAAGGTGAAAAACAAGGGGGGAATTATTCATCTCTCTGGGTTTCTGATGCGTACGATGCGAAAACGGTTCAAGACACCCAAAAATATGTAGAAAGAATTATCGCCCTTTAAATGAACTAAAAAAAGTCCGCGACACTATATGTCTATCTTTTAAGAATAACTTGCAAGAACGAAGAATAGGTTTACAAAGAACAAATTTGGATGGAAAATATATATTCCACGCGGACAAAGTCGCTGACGCAGCTAGTATAAAATAGAATTGTATTAACATTACTACGAATCAGCACTTAGATCGCTCTCAGACAGGTTTAAATGGAAAAATAAAACCTTCGCTTGTTTTACACTTGACTTATCGGTGCTACGCGGTATTCCTCCGTCCTAGTAGCGACTTATCATACTTCGTAGATTAAAATCTCTCTTTATTTGCACTTTGCCATCGATATTTACATGAATAAATCGTGTGAAACTTATTAATATAAATTTGACGTCCACCTTTGAATCTCACTTTAAGCCATTTTGTGTGAAGTGGAGAGAGGTAATAGGTTTACCATGAGTCGAAGAAGATCCTATTAAAACGATTGATCAATGAAAGCTCAGTTAAGGCAAATCGAGTTAGTGACCGGGCTATTGTGTAAGCACAATCCCCTTTATGGAGGAACTCAAAGACGTTTTTATGCTAGAGGAAAACAAGCTAAGTTTTAAACCGTTCAAGTGTTTTATTTAAATGTGTACTACTCGCGTAAACTATAGACAGTAGCATGGTGTTTGCTTGATGTTGGGTGAAATACCAGCTATATAACATCTAAATGCGTTGTCGACCCATTTTGGCTTTAGCTTTGGAAATCCACAGATTTAAACCAAAACGCAATTAAACTTCACGACTTTTTTCATCTGTGGACCAATTTAATATACAGATTACGTCTAACATGTTTCAGAAAAATTATAAATTGATTAGAAAAATTACTCGGTAGGGATCAAACCCACCCTTAGATTATAAGTCATACACTGCTACCATTACACCAAAGAGCCGTCAAGCATTAATATAAAACAATTTATCTCCAATATCTGGTACTAATTTTTACCGCACTGTATTTGTTCTTACTTAACAGAAGTGAAACTGCGTTTCCCCTATAAAGCATGGAGCAAACGCTTTTCTGATCGATTTCATTTACAGGTAAGTAATGTTCAACCTACACCGGCGGCGGTCAGTTCGTTCATTTGAACTAAACATATGCTGATCTTCATGTCATGCAAATAAAATCTCTCTATTTTTCTTTGTAACAGTAAAATGTTCTCTGAAATTTCAAGTTATTTCCAATCGTTTTGATGTGTAATTTACTTAGGTATACAGAGCTAAGCTATCTACAATTTATTGCTAAGTAATCTGAAATACTACGTAAGGCTGTTTCATAAAAATGCATTACAAAGAAATGGTTTTTCTGAGAAGTTTGAATTGCTTCTTTGTTTAGACAATTAATAAGAGAATAGCAACGAATTAAAACATGATTATTTAGGTATTTGACGTAACTACAACTCGACGGTTGCTGTCAGAACCCGTAGATACAGATGTAAAAATTTAATGTAATGACTGAAAATGAAAAATAGCAAAATGTATGACACATATCAGTAAAAATAAATGCTAAAATTACATTTAATTGCTGTGATTAAGAGTCAGCAAGACATGTTTTGTATCGTACTGTTATAAAATATAAAGATGTGTTATAAAATTGTTGAATTTAATAAAATGAAAAAATATATTGACAAGTTGTCCAAAAAAGTTTAGGAATTGAGCTGCAAATACTTTTGAAGGTCTAATATTCCTAGATATAACTATTACTTCTTTAGAAATACAGCATAAAAATAATACCTTATAACGAAAATATCTTATTGGATTGACTCCATTTCTAGCTTGAAAAATAAATAAAAATAACTTCTGTTACCGATTGTAGTTAACTAATACTGTTCAAATGATTGTTGTTCTACGTTTACTTATTATTGACCGTAGTTTGTTGGCCGTGAACTGTTGAAAGATAAGAAACGGTTGCTCTCTCTAGCCTTCAACGTCTAGCGTTATTGAAGTTGTAACATCATCGAAAATAAATGTATTGAACCGAAATTAAGACGTCAAAAAACTAATTAATCGCTGTGCTTATTAATCGCTAATAGCCTATAATAATCGCGAAGCAAACAGTCGCAAGAGCATAAAATGCTTATCATCTAACACATCATTTCGTCAATTATCGTTGGCTGCCTTGAATTTGATATTGTGTGATATATAGGATAGGATGTGACACTTGACGTTACAGCCGAGCGGTTCCGTCCTTGGCAAGGACATGAAGAGTGTGACTCACCGAGGGGCTGGTGAATCGTGTGTGCGTCGCAGTCAGCACATACAGCCGAACGCATCATCCTCTCCCTCTGCAACCGACGCAGCAGTTGAAGGTGCTGCGGGGTGAAAACAGTCCCGGATCTTTCCCCAACCAAAACAACATCTCCCGCTTCCCACCAAGCCTGCTCTCGCAATGTACCGTCTCGGTTGAACAACCCCATGTCTTTGTAACCCTCGGGCGGGCTGAGGGCCCCAGGCTCCGGCTCCTGGAAGCGCTCGCAGGCTCCACAGCCGGAGCATTCGTCGCCTTCACCCTCATCGGAATACCCGCATTCATCTCTGACGACAATAATATAATCCGCTTCGAAAAACTCATTAGCACTCTCATCGAAGACTACCCTATGCTTTTTAGATTTGTTGCTCCCCTTTTTAAGTGATGACTTAAGATTATCGTGATCCTTGTTGTGTCGCGTGTCGCGAGCGGCGCGGTCGCCGCGCATCGTCGCGTGTGTTCACCACGAGGGTATTCGCCGGAATGCCGGAGAGCTAGTGGCGAAGTCTACAAGCGACAGCGATCGCTATGACGATCGTGAGCGACGACTGCAGCGCCCCGCCCGCCTATCGATCGTGTGTTTTTCTCATGGAGACAGTGAGTTCAAACCACACCCGCTAAACCCGAGGAACTCAAATTCCGAGCCACGGCGAACTACGGTGTCATCTTACGCCAATCATGTGAGTTTAAGGCGCGAAAGTGTAAAGTCACAAATTAGAGTTTTGCGCGAAGTCATACAAATCGCGAACCGCAGTTCTTCGAATAGCCGTGTCGTGAAACTATTCTAATACTTATTTCACTCAGTGGATAGCTAAGTTATAATATCGAGAAGAAAGCTATTCGTTCAATTTACCGAAAAACCCCCGATAAGTTAAATTGGTGTGCAGGAGTTTAAAAGTTGTGTGGTACTTTAAACTTTTATAAGTAAACACTTTTAAAAGGTTTACTTTAAAACAATTTAACTTTAATAATAATGTTAAATACACACATTTATTTATTAAGAAAGATGTTTTTTTAAGTTATAGAAATCCTTTTCACTTATAAAATACTTAATTCTAGATAAATTGTGTTGAACATAATTTCAACCCTTTTACTTTATCTTTGATATAATATTTACTAAACTGTATTATATTAATAGTATTGTTAGTAAGATGGCGCAAACAGACTACGTAGTAACATAATTAAGAAAGGAGGAAGTTGTGATAAAAAATACTTATTCCTAAGAAAAATTAGGATGCGTATTTTTTTAATAAATAAATTTTTATGCTTGATAAAATCGTATAATACAATTTAAATTGTATATAAAGGTACGAATCAAGTACAAATATGTAATTTTACAATACAACTATAGCCAAAATTTTATTTTTTTAAGAAATAAAAAAGAAAAAGTGTTTTGCGATAATTCGCCTAACTTAAATCAAAGACATCTATACTCATCCCTCGTCAGTTTTATACTGCAATGTCATTGTCAAGGGGGTTTTGACAATGACGTCATAATATTGTGTTGGAACCTATAAAATGTCAACTATCAAGTGGTTATGAAAGAATAGTTTTTTGACGTTTGTCAAGTAATCGTTAGAGTTGGCTACTACGTTATTAGCGCCATCTTTATATTTATAATTACAGTCAAATTCCATATATAGGTGGCACTTATATCAATTTCTAAAAATAGTACTTCTAGATAGTGAATTGTTATTTATTCAAAGTTAAATATGAAAAAAAGACTTCTTTGTTACTTTATAATTGCGTTACAAAGTCATTTGCGTAATGCGACCAGTGTAGAGTGGACACATATTCATTGAATTCCGACGTGCTACAATCTTAGTTCTCAAAAATCGTCAGAGATGGCAATAATCTCAAAGTATATAAATTTACAAATGTTTCAGCTACAGTAATAGAGTGCACTTGAATAAGCCTTAGGTTAGTAAATATCTATTCAACTCAATAAAATATATATGTTTATTGCTTCAAGAAATAGTTGTTAATATGGCAATGTAAATTAATAGTAGCGAGTGGCAACACTAGAATAGAATATGGCGGCATTGCAAACTTCAACGACTTCCTACATCATTCCCTATATCTGTGGTGCTCCTTCACCAAGAAATTTTATTGTATTGCATTTTATTTTTAAGGGATTCGAAAATTTCAATTATTTCTATTAACTATTTTCTCCTTTACAGTTAAAAGTAGCCGAAAAATATTAAGGTATTGGCTAGTTTGTTAATGTTTACTTGAAAGTTTGCTGTTACATTAGACGTTGGTATGACCTTTTTATATCTAGGTATCCACTATTGTGATCGATGTCTTTCAAAGAGATTTAAATCGAAGTTCATTAAATCCTTGTAATAAGTTTTGTCTTGCAAAATATAACGTGATAACTCGAAATTTGTTGGCTATCACAATCAACCTACGTAGTGATTATTTTGATGTAGATTACATCTGCGAAGTGTATGCATTGTGGTACATAAAGTGCACGCGACGCATGTGTAGTTAAGATATGTAATTAGGAAATATGATCAGATCGATTTATAGATTTCCTGATTATTTGTCCTTGGTGAGATATTCATAGACATGTAGCTCTGAATTCTGATACATTTGTTGTTGAAAGCTCCACTACAATCAAATTGCACATTGTTTAATAATAATTTGTGATTCATTTGTTTATCAGCTCTGCTGTAGTTTCTGTGAGACTTGAAAATGGTGTGAACCTGTGAGCAGAATTTTAATATCATTTGTTGTAAGTTTTTACATTTTACATAGATATAATAATAAAATTTCCCAATTCAACAAGTACCAAGAGTAATAATCAGAAATGTTGCTTGCATATATAATGATGCAAAAAAATTATGTCAAAATCAGTTGTTCTTGAATTTGTATGACGATTTCTCTGAATGCTATACAGAAATCACTTTTAGATGTTTAAACACTAGATATTAATATGTACATCTGCAACTCCAATTATGTAATAAAAACTCAAATTATCAACATTCTTACATATTTTATACATAAAGAAAAACAAGAATGTTTCATCTTTTTAAAGAAAGCCATAATATTAAAAATAGATAGACCAGTTGTATAATTCACTGTTAGAATTTACTTTAGTTAACTTTAAAATAAAATTACTACACATGCATTTAGTTATTATATTTCAATAAAATCTTATTAATTGATGATCTTTGTAATATTTGTTTTTTTGCAGCCTTAAGTAACCATGGGTGACTGCTGCTGCAAGAACAGAGAGCCAGATGTGTTTGCATATACACCATCATCTACTCAGAACACTGTGCAACCTGAATATCGGCAAAGACCAACAAAAGTGGATCCAAGTCTCGTAGACCAGCTAGTTCTTGAAATGTTGACTGAGGCAGCTTCTAGGGTAGACATGTAAGTGAATTAATTGTGTCTTTTGTTCTTCTAATTCGTATAAAGTTTACCAAATAGGTACTTTCTTAGACAAGTATATACAACAAATAAATGAGGCCGCTAGAGACAGAGTAGCCTAACTGCAATTTTATGACTTGAGTTATTTATATTTTCGTAGTCAAAAAATGTTAATCTACAAGACCACAGTGACTGAAAATTGTTAACATAATTCTTACACAAATAATAGTACAAATTCAATCTTGGAAATAATTTTTTGCTATTAGGCCACTCTGCCTCTAGTAGCCTTATATATTCAAGTACTGTGTCTAGCTTCTGGTACGAAATTAGTATTTTGTTTCCATGGCAATATTTAAAACTAAATTAAATATTAAATTTCATTAAAACATTACATATTTGTTTAGTTTTGTTTGGAATTCTTATATTTTAATATCATGGAAAATTATATTAATCTGATATGCACTATATATTTTATTATATTATTATTTTCTATCAGGGACACCTGTAGTAGGCCGGTTGATCAGACCGCCCCATTTCCTCCTGTCGAGGGTTTTGGGTTATCCAACTCTCACTGTATTCCCTTCAAACCTTCCGGTTTGCTTATTAGTAAAGTAATTATTAAGCTTCCATTTTAATTTGTTATTGCATTGAATACAGAATTAACAGTAAAAGTCAAAGCTTAAACCTTATCTAGTTGATGTTTATCTGTAGATTCTTAGTCTTATAAGTTGGTGTCAATGTTATGGAGATGACTTTTCTTATAAGGCCTAGGTCGTTCTCCACTCATCAATAAACATGTGGGTATGTGATCGAAAACTTTGACATTTCTAGTGATGAAGAATCGCCAGTGTCCCTTGTGAAGCTGCATCTAATAGCTGATAAGGAGGAGGGTTGGCTACAAATGATAACATCTATGGTTAATGTAATTCCAATTGAGAACCCGTTTGGACCTACAGCTATGTCAGTGTTACTTGATGCTTGCCCTTTGCCGTCTCGAGAAACTGTTATAAAAGTAAGTTTATTTATACTTTATATGTATGCAGGTTTGCTCAAGAAGGTTGTTTTATTCTATTGGGGATCAATCCACACAATCTGGTAACCATTTCACCCATTTTTCCAAGCCCCCTTGATGATCCAGATGATGGGTTATCCAGGCCTCACTATCCCCTTCAAAGATTTCCTAAATAATAAACAAATTAACATAGTTTAAAATAACAAATAGGCACAGCAACATAGGATGTATTTAAGAGATGCGGATTTCAAATGCATCAGACACAAAATTTTCTTCCATACTTTTCTGATTATAACCATGATGGTTAAATAACACATCAAGTTCATAAACTACAAAGATTTTACACTTATTTTTAGTATTATTTAAATTATATTATCACACATCGATGAAAGTGAGTCCACAAAACGGTATATATTACCTATGAAATTATTAAATAATACGTTCCATAACATGAAAATATCACAGTTCAGTTGTATTAACTTAACCACACATGTCTTCAAACGTAACCCTGTATGATTTCAAATGCTAGGTACCGTTATGTTCTATATAAAGAATCTAGTAACAAAGACTTTCTTTACAGATTACCGACATCTTTGGCTTATCTGCAGAAAGGGCTGAGCTAGGTGAAAAAAATGTGAGGGTGGATAGAAATATATGCATTGTACTTGGATCGCTTGCGGAGAAGCTCGTGGGACCTAACAGTATAGCCATGCTTACTGAACGAACTCTGGATTACCTCTACACGTTTCTGGTTAGTCATACTATTGTTACCACAAACTATTTCTTTAAATATCGTGTGTAGTTTATGCGAGTTGTACACATTGTAATAATAGACTTTTAACGGTTATAAACGCGAAATATATGAGGTAACTTTACAATTTATACTAAGTAAGGGCTGTTTCGGATGCATAGCAGCAACCATAGTCACGGGGGAAGACTGTTAAAAGTGTCACTTCTCTACATTTGCAATGCAATTGTCATAATTGTCTTAATGCTATTCTATTTGACATTCATAATAGTACTCAGTTACCTATATATAACAAAACTAGCTTTGTCAGCGACTTCGTCCGCTAAGAATATTTATTTTAGGCATCCAAATTCTTTGTTGCAAACCCCTTCATCTTTATAAACTTACGCTGTTATCCACGACGTCAGGCGGATCCCTTCCCATCGTTCTTGCAAGTTAATCTTAAAAAATAGACATAATGACAGCGTCGCAGGAACCCAAGGAAAAAAAAATATGTATGATTTACCCCGCTTTTCGACATTACCCGCTGTTTCTTCGCCCCTGTTAGTCACATCGCGATGTGACTCGATAAAAGCTCTACCCAACACAAAAGTAATTTTTCAATTCGAACCAGTAGTTCCCGAGATTAGTACGTTCAAACAAACAAACTCTTCAGCTTTATATATTAGTAAAGATTATTTTTGCTCTTCTGTTTGCTCGTGTGTTTGAAATGCAGTCTTTATTTTCTCAGGTCAATCAAAGGGAAGCCTGCCTCTGCCTATTCTCATTAATCACACTAGAAAAATTTGCACACACAATGGAGAACAAAATAGTTATTAAGAATAGATTAGAGAAGGACGATGAGAATCCCCTGCTGCGTCTAGAGAAATTAGCAGATAGCGAGGACTATACGTGGAGACAAGTAGGCTTCTGCGCTAATTGGGCTCTTGATAACTTATGTAAGTACTTTATGACATACTAGCTGTGTCAGCGACTTCGTCCGCGTAGAAAACTTATTTTAGTCGTCAAAATTTGTTTTTCAAACAGCCTCCTCATCTTTATTGATTTAAGCTGTTACTCTCGACGTCAATCGCGTCCCTTCGTTTTTGCAAGTTAATCTTAAAAGATACAACACTATCGCAGCGTACGCATCGGAATCTCACAAAGATAGATAATTAATTTTCCCCGTTTTCTCCTCATCCCGGTATTTCGTCGCTTCTATTAGTCATAGCGCTATGTTTTAGCCTATATCCTTCCTCGATAAATTCTTTAACAAACACAAAAATAATTTTTCATTTCGAACCAGTAGTTCCTGAGATTAGTGCGTTCAAACAGACGAACACACAAGCTTTATACATTAGTATAGACAGACCAACTATGAATCAATCGGGTAAAATTTAGTTGTATCGCTTTTGTCTTTGAATTTCGATATTGGTACTATAGCTTATAAACTTATAATTTCAAATCTATTTTACACTGGGAAAATTTTACGACACCGGCTGGATTCTAACTAGCATCTACAGTGTGCCGGACTGTTGCTATAACCAATCGAGCTACCGTGTCTTACATGTCATCGTTAATTTTTTTCCAACTGATTAATACATGTACCTCTCGCTCAATATAATATCAACCTTAACATTTAAAATTAATTAAAAGACCATATGATACCTTTTCTCATTACATCTTAAATTTGATTATTTATTTATTTAACTAGACACACGCACGTGTTTTAAACTACTTAAGCTAATTACAGTAAGAATAATTCTTATGTACCTAACTTAGAAGTATGCTCAGCGTTGACTATAGATATATATATATCGAGAGATAAAGCAAACTACATAAAAGAAAATATACTTAGTTGATTTTATATAATAATATAATCATTAAGACAATTTACTGATCAAGATAATGAAGTACTTGTCTTTTGAAAACATTAACAGAAGTAAATAGGTCAATATTGTAGTTCTTAAATACGCTATTAGAAGTCTAGAAATTAACTGTATAGGGCAGTTTGAGCCATAATTATTTTTGTGAAATTTAATGAACATTGGGTAATTAGAAGCAAGTCGATTAAAAGATGGTACGCAAAGTCCAATTTGCTCCAAAAGGGATGGGCAATCAATTAGGTTATTTATGATTTTATGAGGGCAAATCAATTCTGCTGCGTTTCGGCGAAGTTCCAAAGACTGCATGTTTAATACAACCACTTTGTATCCAAATCCACTTTGTAGCTTTTGATGTGGTAGGTTTTCTTTATAAAACTTAGTCTTGCAGTAATTATTTCTGAACTGCTTCTACCCTATAATTTAAAAACCGAAAATAAATTGAAAAAATTTTCGGCTCTACAATTGAGCTACCGAGCCCGAGTCGAAAATTTTTTCAATTTATTTTCGATTTTTAAATTATATAGTGCCTTCACGTGCTAATAACATGTAAAAAATATTAATGTTTTCAAATGCTTCTACCCTGTTACAACTATTTATTACACTTACAACACACTTGTTCAATAACTTAACATGTAACAATACATACAACGAATTGATTTTATCTACACAGTCAAAGTCAAAAGTCATTTATTCACATAAGTTACAAACTAAAGACTCTAAATTTATATTTACTGCTTTGTAAACTCAGTGCTATAAAGCTAAATAAGCGAGTCTTGATTGTTTCTTTTAATTAAGCTGTTGATATTTATTTAAATAAAACACTTTAACGGTTTAAAACGCGATATATTAGTTAAACTTTTAAAATGATTTTTAACTTCGGCCTGACGTCTCCCGGTGACAGTATTTAATTAACCAGCGTTGATATTTATGCTTACAGTCATGGTGGAAGGCCGGAAGCTGTCCTACGAAATGGTGGACATGAGTGATATAAACGCAATACTGAACTGTCAAGATGTAAGCGAGTACTTGCAGATATCTCCCAATGGTTTGGAGGCCCGTTGCGACTCTTATTCGTTTGAGAGTGTAAGGTAAGCGTTTTTATTATCAACTAGCTGATAAATACGGTTCTCGTGAGTTAATCTTAAAAGATGGACATACACTGTCACAGACATTTTTTAGATTATTTAAATAAAAATAAATCCTTTCTACATATTTTTGGGTACCCCTTGATGTTTTATAGCCTAGAGCCTTCCTCGATAACTAACTAACATAAACAAAATGTTTCAATTCAAACACGTAGTTCCTGAGATTAGAGCGTTCAAACAAACAAAGTAACTCTTTAGCTTTATATATTAGGGTAGATGTATTGTATATGGATCACAACATACTTCGTGTGAAATAAAAAATGTTTAACCACATTCGTAGCTCACCTACAATACCTGGAACTGTGTTACCATCTAAGATCTTGAATTCGAATCCTGCAAAGAGTGTAAAGAAGTCTGATTAAATACTTGCCATACATAAGATCCATCAGTAGAACAGACACATATATACGTCTGCCCCGTGTTCTAAATTGTAATATTGATGGCCAAATTCTGCTTAAGCTCGTGGGAGAGAGTGAACACATTTTTATGTCGCTTTCACTCATCGATTTTATTTTATGTATCGATTATACTATGCAATAAGATCGCGTTTAATTACTGATCCATGGAGATAATAACTGATTTGATCAATTATTTTTATTTTGCAGGTGCACCTTCCAAGTGGACGATGGTTGTTGGTACTACGAGGCGACTATTGTCACACCCGGTGTTATGCAGATAGGATGGGCCACTAAAAACAGTCACTTTTTGAGTGATGTAAGAAGTTTTTTAACTTTTTAAGATCTAAGTCTTTTTAATGGAATTAAACGCAAAGCTGTCCTTCATACTAAATGTTGACCTTTTTTTATGCAAGAGGAGGACAATAGCATCGGATTCACATAGGAGGTGAAATAAAAATGCACCCAACTGTCATAAAGTATTTTTGGGCCAAAGTTACGTTAGATGACGTCAAGCTAGACACAATAAGATTTTTTAGAGCCAGGTTGAGTAGTTTTGGAAGTCTATACAGACTAGGAAGGCTGCACTAGATGCAGTAAATTGAATTTTTAATTTAAACGTTAAATGTTAATACTGTCAAAACACTTAACGGTTTAAAAATCGATATATTAGTTAAACTTGTTTGAAAATTATTTTTAACTTCGGCCTGACGTTTCGGATGCTATTGCTATGCAGCAGCTGTGGTCACGGGGAGACTACGGGAGGAATTTTTAAATAAGTTTAACTAATATCTATCGCGTTTTAAACCATTAAAGTATTTCATTTAAATACCTAAATGTAATTTTCAGGAAGGCTTTGGTATTGGCGACGACTTGTACTCCATATCGTATGATGGTTGTCGCGAGCTCGTTTGGTACAACGCGAAACCAACTTCGATAACCGCAGTGAAGCCGTGGCAGCCAGGTGATGTGCTGGGCTGCCTCATCGACTTAACAGCAAGAGAAGTCATCTTCTCTATGAACGGAAAGAGACTACCCACCTATAACGAAATATTTGACGCTACAAAGTAAGTGTGGGACTTGAGTATTTATTTCGTACTATCAAGTTGATCTTAGAAGATAGACATATACTATCGCATTATAGATCATTTAAAGAGTATGTTTTTCATACGCTTATTTGGGTTGCTTGAACAGTTTTCGCAGCGCACCGAATGGATGCTCAAAGATGAATAATGTTCCCTTTTTTTTTGTCTTCCACTGTTTCTTCTCTCCTTGTGGTCGCAGCGTGATCTTATATAGCCTGAAGCCTTCCTCAATAAAGTCTGTCCGATATAAGCCAAAATAGGTCGAGGTAGATATGTCTGTGCTCCTTCAAGTGAACAACCACAAAAAAAACAATAAATGAAAAACAAATATGTCTATAGATATGGCTTCTTTGCGGCGGCCAGTTTTATGGCGTACCAGCAATGTCGTTTCAACTTTGGGCGGGAACCATTCAAATACGCGCCGGAAGACAGATTGTATGCAACCTTCAATGACTTCGGAATCCTCACCGATGAACAAAAGAAGGTCAGTTTTTTTGACAGTTTGACAATTGACAGCTTACGATTCTATATATTCGAACTTTATAATGATAGCGGTGTATGGCTAATAATCGACGAGTATGGGTTCGATCCCCGCTAGCCCCGACGTGTTATTTAATCCATTTATATTTTTACAAAAAAATGTACTTCATTTGGAAATCTGGATATTAAATAGGGTAGTAGGAATATCAGAAGTCCGTCCGGATCACAAACTACCACACTAAAAAGCCGTGAAGCTTAATCGCGTTTCGGTTCCAGTCTGTTAATTTTTGACTCGACTATGATAGGTCGACATCTTGTTAAGAAACATCTTAAAGTTGGTAGGAGGTAAAAGTCGTAAAACTATCGATTTCAACTGTAATTTAGGTCAATAGCGATTATATTATCCCTCTAGTAATGCTGAAGAGTGAAAATAAATAAGGCTGTGCAAAGTAGCTGCGATAACATAATACAATTTAATATCTTCAGGTGATGCCCAGGCGTCTATATTTAGAACAGTTACGCCATTCGAGTGTGAAGGAAGACTCATGTACGCTGTGCTTCGACGATACGGCCTGTTGCATATTGGAGCCGTGTGGTCATAGGTAAGTAATGTGTTCCAACGTTATTCTCATTATTAAGGAACTATGACGATCGTCAAGTTCTATAACCAGAAATTCAACAATTGTCATCTGTCGGCAGGCATTTGGCCAGCGAAGATTTTATGTCCCCACTAGCTGTGTTCGCGACAGCGACCACTTATAATTATTATGGGCATCATAATTCTTCGAGCAATTCTTGGATGAATAGTTAATTCATTCTTCGAGCAATCCAGGAGCTAACATCTACTGATAATGCCGTACGCTCTTGATGGCGAAACTTCGAACAATCCGAAGAACAATGATTTCATACTATGTATTTTTGTAATCCGCCTCACCCTAAATTATAGCTGTTAAGCACGATGTCGTCCGCGTCTCCTCCCGTCCCTTCGGCTCCTTGTTCACTCCCTCTCTCTTTCTTCACTCCCTTTGATGTTTTATAGCCTAAGCCTTCCTCGATGAATGGTCCAACTAACACAAAAGGATTTTTTCTCTTGGAACAAGTACTTTCTGAGATTAGCGCTTTCAAACGAGCAAAGTATTTAAGTTACTTAAAAATTTTAATACCTTTTTCTGTGGTGTATTTTATAAATAATAAATTATCATTGTTTGTTCAAAACATATTCGAAATAATTTTGATCTTACAAGTATTCAAATATTTATAAATTTACAAGTTTTCGAGATACGATTTGGATAACCGAACTGTGTTACATCATTAATCCCAGTTATAACCGAAAAAATCTAATGTTTAGACCCACCAGGCTTAAAACCTGTGTCGAATCTGGAGACATAGGTCCAGCTGTAGGATACGTGTTTTGTTTTATTCACGGTGGTCATTGTGCCTTGTTTTCAGAGGTTTCTGCTCGGTCTGCACGTCGATGCTCCGCGAATGTCCGATGTGCCGCGGTGAGATCCTGAACATCAAACGAGAGGACATTTGACCCGACGCTGTCGATGCAATCGATGACATATCCGACAGCGATACAGAGTCCCCCTTTGACTTCAAAGTCGCACATTATACAGCGCACGATTCAAACTCATCACTGGTGTCCGTATCACCAATAATATCTGTCAAGAACCAGGACATTGACAACGGTAATTACTAGAAGCTTAATATTGCCTGTACGTTATTCATACATCACCATGCCTTTTGATCCGCCGAAGTATTGTTTTCATCATTTGCATGGATTGTATTGTTCTGACTACCCTCTCGGGCATATTTAGTCGGTTCTCACAGTAGATTGAAACCAGGTCCCATTGGTATATTTATAGATATATATTGGATGGCGCGCGTTTTATTTATTTTATTAAGTATGTATTTTTCAAACAGAAAACTAAAAGAATTACTACGTACAAAGTAATACGTATTTTGATTTATTGATATAGAAATTATTTAATATTTTTTTTTAATTTTGTAGTCTGTGCTAAGTAAAACGATAATCGTTTACCAATGTTTCTAAAAACCGTCGTCGTATTTTCTTTAATCGGTTTAAACTTTTTAAAGCTACACTGCTACTACTGGAGTCTAGCTACGATCATATTTTTGTTCATATAAAAAAAAGAATTCGGCGCCTGAACGTTTTAATGAAATTTTGGCAAATATGCTCAGACAAAAAATACGATTAGCAACGCGGCAACCTGTATATGTAATTAATATTGATATATACTAAGTATCTTATTTATTTGTTTTTTAGAATCGGTAGAAAATTTAAAACGAATCTAACGAAATCACTATTTTGATGTTTAATAAAATGGACGTCATGTAATATGTTATTATCGCCAGAAAAAAAATCAAATATAAATAAATTCAAGCGCTCTGTCATCGGCCATTTCGCTTAGAATTGCAAGTAGTCTGGGTTAATAGTACTATCGGTTGGGAAGAGCACAGATTTTTAACTGACTTGCAACGTTACGTTGATAAGTAACTAAACTACTTTCGTGTTCTAAATTCATAATGAAGATGCATTTTTATTCATTTTTGAATTGGGGGAAGATTTTCCTACAAACCCAGTATAATTTGCGTCCCCTTGCTTAGAATAAACTTCCAAGGATTTTTTTTTCATAGCTAATACGATGACAATGTTTTTGTAAGTTTAAATAATTCACTTCTATCATTTTAATACACTAAATTTAAGTTAAGTAATTTTAACAATCCTATTTACCCCAGTTGCCTCGTCTTGTTTGAATTAATCTCTACTGTCAAATAGGAAGATATAAAATCGTAAAGTTTATTACTAAAAAATTGTATTATTTGTTTTTACGATTTTGCTTTGACTAAGGCGATCGACCAATCATAGTTTAATCTATCTTAAACTCTATATAAGCAAAATGTTCTTGGAAAATTGTCCTTTTCAAATCGAATACATCTCAAACATAAAACTAGGATAGCTATATATCACCTTTTTGTAGGCTTTAAAACGTGTATGCATTTTTTTATTAGTAAGTTTTTTTTTATTTATTTGTTTTATCTGCAGAGCTAAGTTATAAGTAGGGCTTAATTTTATTTCTAGCACCTTAAAACGTTAGAGGGCATTTGTAGGGATGTATGTATTATATCTTGGTACATAATACATACTCCACCTCTTTGTAAATAAAAGTAACGTAAAATAATTATAACAATGTTTTTCTTGTAATCTCTTGGAGTCGTTCTATAGACAGTAGCTATTAAAGTTACTGGAACTGATATTTTAACGTCATATTATAATTTTTATCAAATTGTATATTCTATAAAGGTAGACACGGATCCTATATATCAAGTCAGCGTGTTCCATCAATTTTAGTTCATCCAAAAGCAAAAGAGAAATGATTTTCGCCTTCGACCGAGCTTCTCCAAGACGTAAATTCTTCTGACTGATTATACAAAAGTCGAATATAAATTCTAGCATACGTAATTTTTACAATTAAAATTACTAGTCATTTATAGTTCTAATTGGTTCCCTTTTTTCTTAGTATTAAAATTTATCGTTAGGTGTCAGAATATCAATTGGGTACTATTCTAGTATAAGTGATATCGTTGTGTCTAGAACTTTAAACGTTATATAGATGTGGGGGATAGAAAATATTGAATCTCTATAGTAACTGAAGCATTTTCATTTGTTGCGCAATACTAAGAATCCTTGTAAGCTCCGAATCGACATCCGTGTTAGTTGTCTCGGAATAAGCACTATTTTTGTAAAATAACATTTATCGTCGTTGTAATGTTGTATATGCTTATTTTCATATAAAAAGCATTTATTTTTGCACGGTATCTCTAGTTGTGCAAAGTATATATATAGCTTAATTTATGCTATATAAGTCAATATGGGACTTTCTCGTCTAGGGACCGTTCAAGAATTACTAGTTGTAACGTTTTATTTTGACATTTTTATCTAAGTATAAGAGCCTTTGACCATTGAATTGGCATTACGTTAAGCGAGAGGTCCTAGGTTCAAATCTAGGTCGGGTGGGCACAGAAATAAACTACTCGCCTGTATTAGAATCGATCAGTGAAACGGACACTGAATGTGCTCGACCAATGCGCCACGGGGGGAAACGGGAGCCTTACTTGTGCCAAGAATTGACAAAAATTGACGTAATACTTGAACGGTGCGCTGTTTCGCATTACAAATAAGATTTTTTTAAGCGTCTCTGTATATGTATTTTAATGCAAACTAACGTAAACTAATGGATAACAGATACATAGTAGATTGTTATAGTTTGTGATATTGGTATATTTTTTTCAACAGCAAACTATATTTTTTTAAATACAGAAACTGAATCTGTCCATTGTACTGTTTAGCGATGATATTTTTGCAACGACTCATTATTTCGCATTTTATTAAAGTTTTAATTAGCTCTACTTCGCTGTAAGTAAGTTACAAGTTCGCTACATGTAAGTTAAGTAGTGGATGAAATTACAAATATTTTTGTCACAAATGTATAGATACAGGTGAATTTATCCTCTATAGATGTAAAAAGTCTCAAATAAATGAAATATCTTTAAATTTGTGTATATATTTTAAATCACTTCTGACGGCTTAAACGGGAAATGTATTATTTTACTTATTTACAAAATAATTCAACTACTGCCCTATGTTATGAATGCATATTGTAAATGTCTTGTAAATAAGAGAACTAATAAATATCTCGTTTTAAACCGTTAATTTTTTTTAATGTACTTTTCCGTCTATTATCAACAATGGTTATCGTACATCCTTTTTTGGAGAGACGTAAACAAGACCCTTCGTGGATTATTTAGGCGTACGCATTATATAAGGTCGTTAGAGGCACAGTAGCCTAACTGCATTTTTTACCTTAAATTATTTATATTTTCATAGTCTAAAAATGTTAATTTAAAAGAGCACAGTGACCGAAAATGTTTAACATATGTTTTGCAATAATACTACAATTTCATTTTCGCCTAATGTTTTGCGCATTTTTATTTTTCTCCTTATTGAAAATCATGTTTTTTGTTATCAGGCCACTCTGCCTCTAGCAGCTTGGTATATAAGTTAAAGTACGTTCTACTTAATATCGATCGGCGCGTACACAATACAAGGTCGATTTAAATATATAACGACCGCTCTGGTAAGAGAAATACGACTGAGAAGATGTATGTATGAACCAGGTCACAAACATTATTCCGGATCAAAACAACCTTATAAAACTAGAAGGCTAATTAACAAGGATCTTACGGAAATATTGACTCTGCTTTGAACTTCGGGGAAAGCTTTTTTCCTATATATACTTCGAGCAACAAGGAAGAAAGACGCCTCTGTGTTTATTCTTCGTACAAATTTTTCTGTAAATTTTTGAGGTCCCCCCACAATACACAGCTGTCATGACGACACTAATGCACAGAAAATAAAAACGAAATGCACACAGCGATTCGTCTATATCTATACTAATATATAAAGCTGAGTATGTTTGTTTGTTGAACGCGTGTCTGTTCTGCTGGACAATTTGTAGAGCTCCGGTACTCGAATCTAAAGTTAACGCAAAAGGCGTTTTATTACTAAAGTAGACAGTTACCACAATAGAAGACCGGCTCGTTGGTCTAATGGTAGTAAAGTATAGCTAATGAGTGGGTCGTGGATTCAATCTGAGTTCCTCAGGATATCTGGATATTTAATGGGTAATCCAACTTTTTGAACGTGAAAAAGTAAAAAAAGAAAAAAGTTTCACTATGAATTTCGCAACATCGAAAGCCAATATAAGTCGTCAGCAGCTCACTTAGAGGTTATATGACTGGCATTTCGCCGTCAAGTTAACCATGGGCTTATTTGTCCACCTCTATCGTAAATGAGCTACTTGCGCTAACGTCAGATAAAGTCAATCACTACAGTTGAACAGGGCAATAACACCTTCTTACGTAGGAGAGTGTAGGAGTTAAGGCTTTGTTATTCCAACAACGAATACGTTTCATATATTCAATATTTTTATTTTCATGTTGGCGAAGTCACACACATCTTGGAAGCTTACAACATGTGTTGGCGTTTTTATAACTTAGAAATAGCTTTTTAATACTAGCTTTAGTGACAACAAATCAAGTCTGTAAAGTCAATGGAATATCCAACAGATAAACTTCAAATATAGGATTTTATTAAAAAAATTCTAACATCCAGGTATTCGTAGCTATCCTTTAACGCAGAGAGAACCGGCCGTATTGTTCGCCGGACAAAGAAATTGTCTGGCCGATGCGGCATGTATTGTTGGGCCGGGTTTAATTCCACTCAAATAATTTTTGTTGTAAACAATCCGGAATTTCGCGAAGTGTTAGATATGAATAAAGCGAAATAGACGTACATTTTTGATTAGAACTATCATAACCATCTATTTTTATATCCACATTTCCAAAGTCCAATATGTAGTGACTTTGGAAATGTGGATATAAAAATAGATGGTAGGAATATCGAAATTCCGTCCGGGTCACGAACCACCGTTGACAGATGTAATAGTTTAC